ATATTTATGTTTGTGGTTGTAATGTGACAAAATATGGAAAAGTTCAAGGGGTATGAATACTTTTGCAAACCACTGTAGCTTCACATTTTGCTCTTTCATATACTGTACCTTCAGAAAACTATCTTTTATCTGTCTTTTAAATATATACATTGATCTAGCATTTTTAAGATCATCCTCCAGACCATTCCATAATCCTATACCCTGGATTAAAGTACATCTTTCTCTCAAGCAAGTACAAAAATATGGCTTCACAAACATTACCATCCCCTTCAGATAATAACTGTCTCTCTTAACAAAGTTTGCCTGAATGTTGGAAGGTAATACATTTCTGTGAGCCTTGTACATAAACAGTAAAATATTATAGTCAACCAAATCATGGAATTTCAAACTTTTATCATTCAGAACCACAAAAGTTAGCACAGCACTTTATTTAATATGTGCAAAGAGGGGAAATTGTGTTGTTGTTTTTTTTATTCAAACCAGCTTGAAAGTCAACATTTGATATGACTACTACTTCAACAGTCAACTCATTGAACTGTCTTCACAGGATCTGTTCTTCAGGAATAGCTTTCATTGTGTTCTATTTGAAAGCTTTTCTTTGGATGTTGTCTGTTTTGTGATCAATTGAGATAATCCCACTGTACTTCAGTAATGTGGAGGTTTGAGCTCCGATGAGGCCATCCACACAAACTGTGTGTTTTTGTGGCATTCTGTAAGTATTTTTCCTCTTAGTTTAATCATTCTGACTGCTGTCTTTGCCGTGTTTTTGTCTTTGTATGTCCAGAAATCCTGAAGAAAGGCAGCTCAGTCCACCCGACCCTCCTGATGAGGGAGGCTGAGGCTGCGAGGGACAAACAGCGCAGTCCTCACCACTGTGATGTCCTCCTTCAGCACATCAGCTCACTGTCCACTGAGACAGACAGTCTGCAGGGACAGGACAAACACTCGGACTAATGCTTGGGCCTCCACTGAAAATTCAATTAACTGTAATAAAACAGTGTTAAAATGTTTTTAAACAGTTTGTGTTTTTTAACGGAGCAATTTTTCTACATTTATTCCTGATTTTGAACTCTTTGTTCTGATAAGTGGTTGTAGTGAAACAGCTGTTGTGTTTGCACAGCTCGATAAGGTTGTTCTGTGTGTTCCTGCACTGTAACTCTGCCTGCAACAGAATGAATGGATTTATTTTTCAAAATAAAATACATTTCTTGCCTAAATTGGTATAATGAAATGTGTAAATGCAAACATCTGAGTTTACGGGAAATGAATTGTTCACAATCCATGTACTTCTTGTCCTTTAAGATTAGAAAACATGATGAGTTTAGTCTGACATTTACCTTGAATCATTTGAACAGATGTGTTTCGACCCATTCTCTGCTGATTGTCCCATCTGATATGCTCTCATATCCACCAAAAAAAAGTCATCACATATTTTCATCCATATTTATCTATGCAGCAAATCCAAACCACCTCACTTTTATTTCTTTCATTTCATTAGGGTGGCAAATTAAAACATTTCATTCTGTTTGAGTAATCACATTTCCTAAATTATGCACCACCTTGTTTACTTGCCATCAGTGAAGTCTGAACATCAAGGGCGGAGTGAGGAAACTTTAGCCCGGGAGTTTAATGGCCAAGACCGTTTAACTGATTAAAAACACCTCAATAATAGATTTTAACTCATCACTGAACTTAGCTAACATTAATMGATCACCTGGACTGACTAACTGCACTAAGTTTTGGTAGAAAAAACTGTCGTGGGGAATTTTTTTATTTATTTTCTGGTTCTTTGTAAAAACTACAGTTTTACCAAAACTTGGACATTATCGGAGGAGTCTTACCTCTTCCAGATGTAGCCCGGGAGTTTAATGGCCAAGACCGGCCCAATTTTTGTACATATAAAAAATTAGGCAAACCTGTAGCACTAGCATGTAATATTTTTGAATTTTGTATTCACTGATCAAAACCTGCATCTTCACATTCATCAACAACAAAGTAAATGTTTCTACTGTGGTGCAATAATGTGTACTCAATCACACCTGTGTGATGTTCACCTGCATTATACTTTGTACTGTACCAGCCCTTTAAACTCAGGAGTAGAGTTTGACAAATAATTTCATAGAACACAGTTCAGTTTTGTAGTACACAGGTGGAGCACTACAGGTGTGTTGGTTTATTCTCTCTAAGGTTAAGCAATGAGCATCAGAAGCATTGTAATTTGTGTGATGGGGGGCATTAGTTGGGGGTCTGGGGGTCCTCCCCCAGAAAATTTTGAAACTAGTAGATGCAGTTTCCTGCATTCTGGTGTATTTTACCAGGTTCCTAAACATACTTTTACCTACATAAAACACTTGATTAAAATAACTAAATTAGAGATAGATTCTAGTTGAATCATCATGTTTTTAAACTCACTCTTGTGGCTCAGYTAATGAAATTAAGGTGACCATTTATCCCAAGCAATGACTTTAGAGGAGAATTTTGCTTTATCTTGTTTGTTCTTGATTTAGTTTTATTTGTAACATGTCATTGTGCCAAGCAACTGCATGCTTAAAATATTAACTACACAATGAACAGATCATTTATTTTTCTGATTAAATGACAGGTCTACTCATAACAAACTGGCATGACATCATGCAGCCTTTTARCATTATGACACTGTGAAACAGTGGTCATATAAAATATACCCGGTAACTTTAATCAGTTTTATCATCCTGTAAATATTAAGAAAAACAGATACATGGATGTTTGGAACTGATCAGAAACCTAATGATGGATGAATTGACAGACTTATTTATTGACGTTTATTTAACCAGGAAAATCCTAATTATGAAAAACAATTTCTACCACTTTCTACTGTAGAAATAAAACTTAAAGTTGTTAATCATGCTGTATATTATGCTTTTAGATCCATAATTTATTTAATTAAGTTCACACAGCTGACTAGAATGTACTCAAAATAAATA